CTTGACCTGTCAAACTTAAAGGTGTTTGGGTGTGCTGCCTATGTACACCAACAGACTGACAAACTGGATCCTAGGTCCAAAAGGTGGGATAGAAGTCAGAGTGGTTTTAAGGTCATAATAAGTAGAAATGTTGTGTTCAATGAAGTTGATTTTCCTTGCTTATTAAAAAATGTGACTGACCCAGAACTGAGTTCTGATGGCACCACTCCAAGTGAGGTGGAGCCTATCCAGACCACTGCTGCCCCTCTGATTAATGAGTTTGTTACTCGTGACTTGACCAACACTATGCATGACACCTCCTCCACCTTCAGGGAGGTGGAGCAGCCCAGTGGATTTAATAATAATGATGAAAGTATGCATGATGTGTTTTCTGGTAATGACTCTACTGATGACAATCATGAAACTGCTACTGATAGTCAGGGTCTTGAAGACTATCAGTTAACTAGAGATAGGACTAGAAGAACCATAAGGAAGATTTCTGATACAATGACCGACTATGCATTTCATCTGTATGATACTTCCTTATTTGCATTCTCTGTTTTTGAAACTCCTGAGTTGAATGAACCTAAAACCTACCAAGAAACCCTTTGCCTCTAGAAAATCTAAAAATTGGCTAAGTGCTATGCAAAGTGAAATAGATTCCCTTAAGTTGAATAAAACTTGGACCCTAGTCCCTAGGACACCTAATTGTTCTGTTGTTGAGTGCAAATGGCTTTTCAAGGTCAAAGAGGAACCTAATGACATTAGATTTTAGGCTAGGTTAGTGGCTAAAGGTTTCACTCAAAAGGAAGGGATAGACCATGCAGAAATTTTTGCTCCAGTAGTAAAATTTACCACAATTAGGATGATGCTTGTCCTGGTTGCCCACAATGACTGGGAGATGAAACAAATGGATGTTACCACTGCTTTCCTGCATGGTGACCTAGACAAACAGATATACATGACCCAGCATGAGGGTTTCATATACCCTAAGAACCCTAGTCATGTCTGTTTACTTAAAAAGGCCCTCTATGGCCTGAAACAGTCTCCCAGACAATGGAATATAAAGTTTGACCAGTGTATGTCTTCCCTGAGTTTCAAAAGGTCTGATTCTAATCCTTGCTTGTATTTTAAGAATACTGCTTCTGTACCTGTTTTCTTGTTGATCTGTGTTGATGACATGCTTATCATTAGCCCTTCTGTGAATGCTATTAAGACTGTTCAAAAGTGCCTTTGTGAAAACTTTGTTGTGAAAGACCTTGGAGATGCTAAGAGGATCCTAGGGATTAATATAATTAGGGATATGAGTAGATGTACCCTTACCCTGAACCAAACTTCCTATTTAGATAAGGTCTTGAAAAAGTTCAATCTTGTCTCTGCCCAGCCTGTAAATGTTCCTTTAGTACCCCATTTTGTGCTAAGTAAGGACCAGTCCCCAAGGACTGCTCCTGAGATAGATAGGATGAAGACTGTACCCTATTCCAGTGCTATAGGGTCAGTCATGTATCTCATGGTAAGCACAAGACCTAATATAGCTTATGTTGTTAGTTGCTTAAGTAGATATATGGCAAACCCTGGTATGTCTCACTGGACTGCCCTTAAATGGCTTCTTAGATACCTTAAGGGTACATCTTCTCATGGTCTTGTGTTTTCTAATACTGAAACTGGCATCTTGCTTACTGGCTATGTTGACTCCAATTATGCAAATGATAGGGACAATAGAAAGTCTACTACCTACATTTTTACTCTTTGTGGTTCCTACATAAGTTGGAAATCCCAACTACAACCTATTGTTGCATTGTCCACTACTGAATCTGACTACGTGGCAGCCACTGAAGCCTTTAAAGAGGCCATTTGGCTGAAACGCATACTAACTGAAATTGGTTTTCTTAAGCAGGTTGTGACAGTTTACTCTGATAGCCAGTTTGCTATCCAATTGTGCAAAAATCATGTATTTCATGACATGACAAAACACATTGATGTCAGGTTTCATTTTATCAAGAACATTGTTGATGCAGGATGGATAAAGCTATCCAAGATAGCCTCTAAATTTAACCCTGCTGATATGGGGACTAAATGTCTCACTTTTGAACAACTGTTGTCTTGTAAACGTATTCTTAATTTAGATTGTGGCTAGATAAGAACAGAAAAACAAGAAAACCTGGCGATGATGATACTCCCTTTCACGTTGTGCTCTACACCACCAGGCAGACCAATAAGGTGGAGATTGTTGATGGTATTGGTCCACCTCATTTATTTGTTGGTCCACCTCATTTAATAGCCTGGTCTCCTATTTAATGTTCTTGCCCATTTGGGCTGTCTACCCAACCAAGCCCATATGCCCTATTTGTTTTCTACCCAGCCTGTGACCTTGTGGCCCTTTGATATACTTGTCCGGTTCCTTCTCGAACTTCCTATTTCACCCGCTCCTCTTTCTCTCTATCCGATGTGCTCTTCAGTTTGTTGCCCTAGTTCTAGAGTGAGAGAGTGCCGGTTTCACCGTTGGGTTGAGCTCCGGTTAACCTCCGGTGATTCCTTGGGGATCCTTTGGTGGGCTTCACTCTGGTCTGGTAGTTTGGGGCTACTCTCCGGTGGGTTTTTCTCTGGGGCTTTGGTATGGGGGTTTGGGCTTTATATGTGAGTGTAGTTGACTGTTGCCCTTTATCTTCCCTGTTTGTAACCCTGATGGTGAATGCTGAGCAAGCCTTCGGGCTTATGGTGATTGAGGTCTGAACCAGTCCGATTTCCAACACATACGGTACACTTTAAGTACACAATTAATATTTTGATGATGGATTCATATCTAGTAGTTCTCTATTAACTGCTAAGTGCCTAAGTCACTAAGTCACTAACAATGTCAGTTGCATCAAAAAGCGATCATATTGACCATCATCACCACACCCATCACCACCATTATTGTTGCTGCCATAACACAAACACCTGTTGTGACTCCAAGAACCGTCCACCAAAACAAACTTTTCGGGTCTTCTGCAAAAGTAATCCTTTCGTTTCTCTTAGCATCCGAGGCGGCTCTGTGGTGGTCCTAGCCCAGAAGGACCCGTCCGACCCGCACCAGCATTGGTTCAAGGAAGATAAGGCCTTTGCCCTAGTCAAAGATGCTGAAGGACTCCCAAGTTTTGCACTGGTCAACAAAGCTACTGGCCAAGCGATTCAGTATCCCGTTAGCACCCATCATACACTAAGACTTGTCTCGTACGATGGCGATGGGGTTCTTGATGGATCCGTGTTGTGGGTTATGAACTTCAACAAGACGCCTGAACAGTATATGGGCATTCGGCAGCAAAACAACATGGCCCTTCATATGGATGCATTCAACAAAGATCACCCAAATCCCGGATATGATGGGAGCAGGGCCGTCTTAAGTCTATAAGGTCCCTGTGCGGATTACAAAAAATAGGCCTTATATAGTACTAGTCATGGACAAAATTCTTGAAAAATATTATCATACATTGATATTGTATCTTAATAATTTGGAGTATCATAAGACCAGATACTCTTACAAGTTGAAGAGCTTATACAAAAAATGTTCTATAGCTAATCATATAAGAAGAATGAAGATGAAGAATAGAAGATTGTAAGAAAATAACTGAAAGGACCGATTGTGTTTCTTGATTGATTGGAAAAGCTTGGCCAGAAACTCTGTAGAGTGAAGATTTAGCCGTTTCCCAACCCTAGAATAATATAAGCCGATAGAATTGTTGCATAGCCCACTTTCTTTTCATTTATTGTGGGATTTGTGGGTTTGATGTTTGGGAGATGGAAATTTGGGCTTTCAAGCTTTGATGCACGTACATAAGGATCTTTGAGTTCTTTTTTTACTACTACTATGTTTTGTTGTTGAGCTCTTGAATTTCTATTACAGAGTACTCTTCCGGTCAGGAATTTCTGACCAAAACCGCCATCCAGACTGCAGCATTTGGGGATCTTCCCCGTGAAAGTTTTTAGTTAAAGTTTTATGGAATGTTCTCCAACAAGTCTAGTTCATCCACACACAAAAATCAGCTAAAAGTTCAATCTATAAGGTACTCAAATAATTTTTAGAAGATAACTGCGCCAAAATATACATATAAAATGCAGTTAACTTCTAAAAATTATTTGACGACCTTACCGTTTGAATTTTTAGCTGATTTTTTGTGTGGATCGACTAGAGTTAATGAAGAACATGTCATAAAAATTTTATCAAAAATGTCGATCGGAAAGAGTCCTAAACGCCGCCGTCCGGACGGCGATTCCTGTCCGGAATTCCGGAGAGGAATATTTCTCTTACATATATACTACTAGTTTTTTAAAAATTATGGGCCTTAATTATTTGTAGGCCCGATGCAGAAGCACTGCTTGCACAGCCCAATAGACGACCCTGGATGGGACACAAGCCAGGGCATGGGAATGGCTCGAAGGTGACAACCAATGGTGGAACATCCTTCCCGATAGACGACCCTGGATGGGACACAAGCCAGGGCATGGGAATGGCTCGAAGGTGACAACCAATGGTGGAACATCCTTCCTTATTGATCTCTAATCTACTTAATTAAATCATCATACATACGGAGTAGCATTTTTTTTATTTATAAATAACATCTTCAAGGAAGATATGTACTACCTCCCTCCCGTTGGAAGGTTCTCATAGCAAAACGGCACGATTATTTAAATAATAATTAAATAAAGTATTTCGAGTATATTTTAAGAAATAATTTTAATAGGTATAAAATACAGACTTAAACAAATCAGATTAGATTAGACCAGACTTAAACAAACTATATCAAATTAGATCATAACAGACTTCTATAGTTATAAAATACCCAGAGAACAAACCGAACTATACTTCCATAGTTATAAAATACACAGTAAACAAACCAAATCATACTTCCCTAGTTATAAAATACACATAGAACTGACCAGACCAGAGCAATTCAAATCAGATTGAAACAGACCGAACCAGCAAATTTCAGTCCAAGTAAAAACATCTTATTATGTGAATTAGACTTTCTAAAATTCATGAGCTAAATTGAACGATTTAGACATGCATAAAAGTCTATTTGACCCGATACTCATCAAATATGTGTGCAACTCTGTGCAAGTACTGTGTGCAGCAAAAGCTGAAACCTAACTTGAAACTTGAAAGTCTCAAATCTCCATTAAGCACACAAAGGCAAGTAGATACATACATAAATATACTACAGATTACAGACACTTAAATTTAAGGGTAAATTTGCCTTTTGCAAACAACAATATCAGCAGATAAATATAAAAAACAAAAGCAAAATATGTATACATATCTACAAACAAACACAAACTAATTAGCATCGTCAGCACTAAAATCAGGTTCTGGCGGTTTCTGCAGCTTAACCAACTCCCTGGCAGCGCCACCCTTAAGATTCCGGTTTCTATGAACGCCCCGAAGAGCATTAGCAGCAAACTTAGAAGCCAAAAAGGCCGCCCCAATGCTATAAGTCCCATGGGTACTCGCTCTGGCCGCTGCAGCCGCCAATTCTTCTTCTTCCTCCTTCCTCTGCATCTCCATAGCTTCTTTCCGCTTCACGTACCGCCTCCACGCTGCCTGTATGAAGCAAGCTGCCCATGTCTTCCACTGCTGAGAGTAAAATCGGAAAGTGTGCTGGACCTGCCGGCTGTGGAGCCGCCGGAATTGGCCGGCTACAAATTTCAACTCATCTGCTGCCAGTGCAAAAGCCTCCACCTCTGTCAAGGCCCTCACCGTCCGGGTCGACGAAGGAAGATTGGCGCCAGATTTGGGGTCAAGAGCCCATGTGAGGAGCTCTTCCCCGCAAAAGTCTCCCTCCTTTAACTTACTGAGGTTAAAGAAACCGCTCCTCCCGCCGTCGGTCGTCGCACTCTCGAGATGGCCACGTATGATGAAGAGCATCTCGTCAACTGGGTCCCCTTCTCTCACAATATATGTTTTCTCGATGTAGAGTGATGGTTTGAGACGCTCACATATGGCATCCAGCAATCTCTCTTCCATGTTCTCAAAAAGAGGGACCTGCAAAACATATGCATCATTAAAAAAAGGATGGCATTCATACATCCAAAATATATATTGAATATAGGGTATGTTTGAATCCTGTAACTGCAAGGGAAATTATATTTATAAAAGGATCAAAATTTATTTTATAATCTGTTCAAAATCATTTTTAAAAATATGTGTTATATAGAGGGTGTTTGGATTTGATTCTTAAAACTGCTTCTGCTCCTTCAGGGAGCAGAAGAAGAAGTTAGAGTGTTTGGCTAAAAGTGCAGAAGTGATTCTGGTGCTCTAATTTACTCCTAGAATCAGTTCTTTTAGAAGCTGGGGGTGACCAGCTTCTGAAAACTAATTCTGATTCTGCTTCTGCTCTAAAAAAGAAGCAGAATCAGAATCAGTTCCAAACACCCTCATAAACACTAAGAAATCAAAATATATGTAAAAAAACATAAATGTTTGATCACATTTGATTTTCCTTCATATTTCCAAGTTGAAACCAAACATGAAAACTATTTTCTTAACATATATTTTTGCATTCCACATGGCCTTAGTGACCATTTGAAACCCAAAATATACTTTGCAAACAAAATAACGAGGAAATTTGCAAGGAAATAAAATGTGCGGGAAAAACAGGATAAAACTCTATACATTTACTCAAGATATTTATTGATGCTCATAGTATTTATAACTGATAGATAAACACAAGAAATCTACATCTACATATATACAAATCTTCAAAACAACTAGTTATATTTCACTTCCATTTGGGTTTGTTTCACTTCCATTTGGGTTTAAATTTTTCCCCTTGCACTATTAACTTCTGGGATCCAAATGGGGACCAGGAACACATAGTTCGATATAAGAAGTGAGGTAAAAAAAATCATAAAACTGTACCCTCTTCACCAAAGCCAAACAGAGATGGCGTTTGATTTCCCTTCTGAGATCCTTTGGTAAACTTTGAACAATAGCCTCTTCATCCACTCCACGAGTTTCTAGCCATTTGTATTGATCATAGCGCCTAACTCGCTGCCTCAGGTCTTGGGGAAGTAAGCGATGATGCATCCATTGCTCCGAGTCCCGCCTTTTAACTCTCATCTCTTCCAGTCGAATGGTTAGGGATTGGAGATATGTCTATAGTAGAAAAACATTAAGCACATACATGTCTTGAGTCTTCACTCTTCATGCAAACTCTGTAACATTTAATTTTACAGTTTTACCCATAAAAGTGCCTTATGTATCTTTACTATGCAGTTGTTTTCTAAGGAAACTCTCCCTTGGCGTTATAATCTAAATTTACTCTTTCCTCCCACTAAACTATTACAAGTACTTTTGGTTCCCTAAAGATTACATTAAGTTTTATTTTACTTTTGGCCTTGTACATCGTCAATTATTAGTTTTGATTGTTGGGTCGGGAGCTGCACTCAATAAATAAATCCTCTAGATTTATTTCACATTAAAACAATAGATATTTCATCTTATTGCAGATCACAACAGGAACATGCCTAAACTTATGATGTGTAAAACATAAGTCCATCTTTCCAGTAAACTTATGCCTTGTTTGGCAAATAAAATTGGACATGACGGGGCAGATGGGAATTGGTTATGAGAAACTGGGTCGTGTATGATTGGCTTAAAGGTGTCCCATGAATCATATGTTTGTAACAATGGGGACATAATGATTCATATCCTATGTTTGGTAGCAATAAAATAGGCTACTAGACAATTAAGACTACTCCGGCCCTTCACTCAAAACAAAATACAAAGTAAGACTAAGGTAATTACCTGCATGTTACCAATAAGTAATGCAAAGAGAACCAGACCAAATATGGCAAGTGCAATTGAGAATAATGACTCTCCGGGATATGTGCTTGTTTCGAGGCCCTGACCCAGTGTGCTGTACTTGGGAGGAAAGGAGTTAAATAAAATGTCAATTACCAAAGAAGCAATATATCAACTAAATGCATTTGTCCATCATCCACGTCCATCCAATGGTAAATCAATCTGGCCCATCCATTATGGGATTAATTATGTAAATTGTATCTGATCCATTTTATTATATATCTATATCGTTTAATGACCGATCCATGATTATTATTATTTTAAATGTTGAACTGCATTTATATAATCTTTATGCACAGGAACTATTGAATTCTTCACATTTGTTGTTGGTTAGTTTCTTCATTTACTGTCTTGAACCCGTCTGACCCACAAAGACAGTTGACTTTTTATATACGTGCATCCGGCAAAGATAGGAAACTTTCAATATTGAGATAATTATTATTATTATAATTATTATTGATGCTTCATTTCCAAACACCCTAATTGATGCATCTTTGTGAACTTATCACCTAAATAATAAATACATGATGCTGGGTATGGTATATTTGTAAAATAAAAATACAAATGTCATGTTTTAGCTAGATTATTAATCATTTCCTATTTGGACTCAAAAGACAGTGCAACGGAGGGAGCATATAGAACAGAGAGAATACATTTAAAGTATCATTATATGAATATATGCAACATTCAATCATCTCTATACAATAAAAGAAAAAAGAAGATGGATTGGATATTTGGGTATCCACCCATGAAAATATTATTATTTGGATTGTGTAGCTTTTTAAATGAATCATAAATGGGCTAATGGATTACTATCATAAACCCATCCATTACAATCCAAATAAAAAATCACCCTTGCACATTCCTTTGCCACTTTATTTATTTATTTGTTTGAAGGGATTGTCGATTTGTCATAGCACAGCCTGCTATGTAGTAGGCTTTGAATGTGTCATCTGAAAACAATCTACATTTGCACCAACTTAAAGGTAAAACATGAAAAAAGTCTAGTGTCAGATTACTATTTGAGAAATTTGAGCCTGATTAAAATAACCCCACTCAAGACAATCAGCTTACAGAAGGCCAAATAAAAGAATTACTTGCCTCAAATTCTGGAGTCCCCACCACAAGCAGTAACAATATTTCGACAAGAACTTCATAGAGAACACTATGCCAGATGACAAGGCACTCTCAAAAATTCCAAAATCAAACGGCGAATCTTTGCCATCTAAAGTGCATGATGCATTTAGTACCTGACCACTGGTTTTGTTCCAAGCAGCAAATCCATTCATGAATTGGTTGCCACAATACAAGAAATTAGTGTTGCACGTTTTGTTATCATGACAAGCTCTTTGCCAGCATGTGTCATAGCGCTCCACTGATAACAAGTACCATAACGCCCCAACTACCTGCCAAAAAAAGAAAAACAAAAAACATCACAAAAGGGAGTCAAGAAAAAAGTCAATATTGCCTAGACAATAAAAAGAGAGCAACTGTGAAACCTTATGGTATACTTGGACCCCGGAAAATGTAGTGAAAAGGAAACATTTCTAAGGAAAGATATTTCTTATGCGTATTTGTTTTTACTTCTGATTTTTTTCAACAGAAAAATATTTCTATTATTGGAATGCTTATATTTTATACTAGTATAATATATGTAGATAAATGAGATGAATATCAACTAATATGTAAAACAAGTCTATCGAACTCTTTCCTTGATGTTTGTGAATAAATGAGATAATGCTTCCAGTTTTCCCAAGTACTTTCTGGGAACCAAATGGACTCTTAAATCCCCTCCCTAGTTAAGTGAATACAGAATTTCCTGTTTAGGCTACAAGGATATAAATATATAATAGTACACGTGCACCAACTATCTACCAATAGGCATTAATAGAAAAAAATTATCCAATTGAGAAGAAAAAAAGGCAAAGATAAGTCCAACATTAATTTGTCTCATAGTAAATATGAGATAAAACAAAACAATACAAAAAAAGTTGAATCCAATGAATTAATTAGCTGACCTCATACAGCATTACAAATCTAAGGAAAAACTGTCTCATAGTATTGAACAGTTCTGAACATGTTTACTTTAGTTATTTTTGGGCTTTGGCCCTGATAATTAATTAATGAGTCAGTCCTAAACTCCTAACAGTAGTAGCACAAGATGAAAAAGTAGGCACAACTGGAAAGAGAAGATGGAAAAGCAAAGGTATCAACGTCTTTCAGAGGTGAAAAAGTAGTAAGAGTTTTTAAAGATGCAACGTGGAGCACGTAAGAATAAATTTACAAGAAAGGAAAGTGGAGCAAAGTATGGTAAACAGGAGTACAAAATAATGACTTACATGACTCGCGAGCATGTACAGTATCAAGTAGCTGACAGCACCAGCCCATGCAGTTTCAGCAAAGACACCAGCTGTTCTTTTCAGTTCTGAAGTTAAGGGTATGACCCTAACACATCTGGGCACATACTGGGACAATATTATATAAAGCAAAGCTTGTTTTGTGGCTAGAACATCTGACCCTTTAGATCTCTGCAGAAATCTCCAGACTACCATCTGAAAAAACCATAAGGAAATTATTCATAAAATCTTTAGATGTCAAAGGAGTACTTATTTTAGCGTTTCCAACAAATTAAAGAGGGACAAAAGGAATTTTAAAGCAATGCCCAAAACTTTTCGTGTTTTAACCAATTTAGTCCTACACTTTAGAGAATCAAGCAATATAGCTAAAACAATGGCAGAACATGTCCCATACATGTGAATAATTTCCAAAAATAATGAGTCAATGATCCATTTGTTGACTGAGTCAATGATCCATTTGTGTACGTGTAATGTGTGGGATAATTTGCGCCTTGGGAATATTAATTGATTATGGTGGCCTAGGGAAATTATTGCTGATGAGCTTGAAGGCTTGAAATATGACAATTTTTTGTGTAACTTTTTACTTCTTCCACAATGTGCTAGATTCGTTAAAAATGGGACACTTTTCAATAATTTGCCCTAGGAAAAAAAGAAGGAAAATGTGTCATCTCGTGATGAAAAAGCAATAGAATCTTAAACTTTGTGTCATCGCTCTACAATTTATTTCCAAACAAACCTCATATCAGAACTTAATGAACTATGCTAAAGATCAACTAGAGGAGTAGAAAATTTTAATATATAACCAAGTAAAAGAACTGGCTACTCCCCCATTGTGTCAAACAATGAGTCCTGAAACTAACTTCTAATGTAATTGGCCAAACACAAAAATTACAAACATGTTAAATACGATAAATTTAGTTAAGTTAACAATAAATTTAAATTATACATAAATATGATTTCATTAGTATTAGGAGTTTGTACTTTGTCAAATCAGAATCTGTACCTTCAACAAATAAGACTATTTTTTGGGATGGAGGGATTATTTTTTCTACAAACCTGAGGCAAAGGGAGAACCGCAAGAAAATCAACTATAAAATAGAAGCGCAAGTAGCGTTTAGCAATTTGTCCAGAATCAATCACAAGCTCACCCCGGCCAAAAACCCGAGATGAAGGGGCAATATAAGCAGTGCGAAATTGAACCACCATATGTAAAAGATAAAAGGCATCAATAGCTGTTCTCAACGTTGTGGCTATTATAGCCAACTTTCTGTCTATCCCCAGACAATGTGAATTTTTATCAAAAACTGGAAGGTAGAAGAACAGAGGATCCACCGAGATGCCAAGGATACATGATACGACAAATAGCCTATTCCATAGAAGGAGCAATTTGTCTTGAGGATCAAATATCTTCTTCTCATAGGACTTAAGATCTTCCGGAAAAACAGCTCGGGATACACCGAATCCCAGAGACCGGCCTATTGACTTAAGTCCTTCAGAACTTTTTCTCATTCCTTTTTTGAAAGAACTTGATGTGCCTCTAGTTGTGGGGCCCACACGTCTCAAACCCTCAATGCCGAAACTGCATTTGTTTGCTGCTACTGATGATGCTGGTGACGAAAGCCTGGAATCCAAGTCATCCAGCCTGCATCCACAGAAGTACAAATACAGGACAACTAAATCTATAGAATGAACTCTATCCCCTGATAGAAGGCAGCAAAAGTCGTTTAAAAGAAGTGAGGTGACAAAAAATACCTCGCATAGTAGTTGACAGGAAAAGTTAGTCAACTTAAAATTTGACCACCAAAGGCATGAAAAGGCGTGGTTTTTAACTTAGATATGAAAAAATTGAGCCAAATACTTTTGAAAATCATTTGTGTTAAACTTGCACTCTAACTGTAGAAACTAACAAAATTTTGTATTTGTAATGGTGTAGTTTTTAATACGAAATATGAATCTCTGATTTCATATACCGACTCATGTTAGCCAACCGGCCAACTCCAAACACTTTTGGGAGTTGGGACTAAAGCTTGGAAGTTGTTGTTGTGTAGTAGTTTTAATATGACACACACACACATAATGTATATAACTACAATAGGCCAACTAAAATATTTCAAACTATCCATATAATTTTCTTCCAACTTTCCTTTTCAAAATTATCGTCTCATTTCCATCAAGAGAATAATGGTGTGGTTGATATTGTTTCTTTTCCTTCTAAATAGGCTTCATGAGACGATTCTACTTTCTCAATAAGCATACCAAGTTAAACATAAAACGGGAAGCAAATCATATGGAAGTAATAAACACATGGTAATGTGCGTTTCCACACTAAGGGTCAGTTTTGCAGTGGGTTTTGATGGTTTTAGATGGGAGAGCTAAATTTAAATCTTGATATATATTTGACATTTTAATAAATTTGAAGGAATGACATAATATGCGATAGTACAATATTTTAATCACCCTTCATTGGTTATTAAGAACATTCTATTTATAAACTTGGATTTTACTAAGCTTGCCAGGCTTCTAAAGCCAGAGGCTTGACCATGTCACCTTTCCACGTCTATTAGAACATTGACTAATACATGTAAGGACAAAAAAGTCTACCATATATAGCCTCATAAATCATACCTTACAAACTTCTCTCGCTCTCCACCCAAGTACTGAGACTTAGAACCACAGTCAAACATATTGTACAATCACAGAACTCATAAACATCTGCAGTAAAGCAGACTATTTAATGTTAGGGACATTGGTACTTATATACCTTCCTCAAAGCATGAGAAATTAACAACAGTTCAAATAATTGATGGAGGGATCAACACAATGAAGAAAATAAATTTTAACTAACAATCGATGCCAATAATAATCTTTGGAATTTAGATATCTGTCTGAAGAAAAAGTCTATAAGTAGTCTGTTCAAGTAGACTCTCCAGTCAATAAAAAGCAAATACTTATTCGTGATGATAAGATCTGTATCCTGGTGTCTCACAAACATCTTAGAAGATCTGTAGAGTAGTGTTACGGTCTTACGGATTGGGAACTTTGACCATCTCAAAATTCATTAATTAATGATAAAAACATCAACTAATCGTGTTTCATTTCTGGATGATTGAAACAAGACAGAAGTTAAGTTTTGTCTGAGAATATTTGATAAAGGTTTGGGATTGGAGCAGCTAAGACTGGGAAGATGGAGTAGAAAAAACAAATACCTGGGTGAATGTGTATGGAAGAAGGGTGAATAGTCGAATTGGAGCAAGGAAAAGGGAAGCTTCTGTGAATAATTCAGGGCATGTTTCTAGTCTAGGTGTATAGAGACTAGAGAGAAGTAATAATTGTAGAAAGATTTAAAATTGTGCTTCAATGAGTTAAATCCAGAAATATAGCCATACACGGAATACAGAGTATGAAGTTAGACTGCAAATGTGAACGGCCCCTAAATTATCTAAAATAAGAAATTATTAATAGGGAAAGTTCCCGAAATAGGACTAAAAAAATTGAAAATTCCAAAATAGAATTGTCATATTTTTATTCTCAAAATAAAACTAATTACTGTCATGTTTTGGCATTTTCAAACTGTTTTAATCCTATTTCGGGTAATATTGTCTTATTAATATAATGAGAATATATTTGGTAAAAGTAAAATTTATCACCATAGTGCTTGGTTTAACTGATTGGGCTTAATAAAATAAACAAAAAATTAAATAAGAATAATTAAGAGCCAGTTTGGTGATTATGTTTTTTGGCTTATCAGCCTTATCAGTATGCTTTTTTTACTATAAATGTAATTTTTATATAGCAGGCTGAATTGTATAATAATAAGAAAAAATTTGACTAAAGTTACTGAAGATGATCATTGTAGCTATTTTCTCATATAATTTTTTCTTTATTTTATTAATAAACAATCTTTTAAATATAATTTTTCATAAATCAGCATAATCAGCCAATACAGTCACTTCAGCCAGAACTTCATAAATTTAAGCAGAATTTGCCGATTTAGCCAATTTCAATGTTACCAAACGGGCTCTAAAATGATTATATACAGTAACTTCAGTCAATTCATCTATAAAGTAACTTCAATCATATTTAGAGACTGTTTGGAAATCCTGTATTTCAGCTTATCAGGCATATCAACTAAGTTTTTCACCAAACACGTAATTTTTTATCTTTCGCTCTGAATTGTATAATAATAAGAAGAAAAAATAAGGTTGAAGTTACTTTTTTGGTTGTATTGGCTGAAGTTACTGTAGAGTATCATTTTTCATATTATTTTTTCTTTATTTTATTAATAAAAAATATTTTAAATATAATTTTTTATAAATTAGCCGAATAAGCTAATACAGTCACTTTAACCAGCACTTCATAAATTTCAACAAAATCAGCCGATCCAGCCAATTTCAGTGCTACCAAACGGGCTCTTATTTTGATTATTACACAAATCTGCACGTGAAATAAAAAGTTATGTGTTTGATAAAAATGTTGATTGATAAGACTGATGATAAGGAGAAAAATAGGGTCATCAAACAGACTTTAATTTCTAACATTTTAAACTTAATCTTTTTTACGGTGTATTCCAAGTCGTCGATTTTCCGTTTTCGGGTTCTTAACTAATTGAATCGATTTTCAATCAGAGTCGTCAATTTCTGGGTCAACCCGTTCATTCTGGTTTTTTTAAACATAGGTTTCCTCATAAATACTCAGTAATATATAAGTCAAAATTATGAATAAAAGTCTTTTTTTAACATTGAATAAAAGTCTTGTTCAAGTTACTAGCGATGTGCGCACTACGTGGAAAGTGCCCGATGAAGCCCCAATTTAAGTATTGAAAATATTAAAAATTCTTAGACAAAATGTGTAGTGAAAATTTTATTAAAGATTTTTATAACAGTTTTATAATATTTTCGGTACAGAACTACAAATTATTAGGAGTATTTTAGGAACAAACAATGAACAAGATCATAGAAATTGTAATTGAATTGTCTACTATTATTAGTTTAGTGTAAGCTAATTGAGTTATGGATCTAAATTAGGTTATTTGGTAAAATGAATAGTATATATTGAAACCAATTAAATATATTTTAAAACATTTATTAGTAGACACTAACAATCCGATTTCTTAATGTATTGATTTATTTGTTAAAGATGACCAATTTTTAATTAAAAAAAGTGTTTTTATTATTTAGACATTTGTCTTATCTTTGTGTACGTAACCTTTCATAGTAAGTTTCAGTGCTTTATCATTTTAACTGTAGTTCACCAAAAGAAGTTTAATGTTATAGAAAAAAACTTAAATAACATTCACAACAATTGTAAATATAATTAATTTAAATATATGAATTTGTATATGAGATAATACATAGGTAAAACTTCAAAGTGCAAGACCTTGAAGTATTAAGTTTTTACAAAGGATTGATACTGTAGTCAATTAATCAATCACAACCCATATATAACATTTTACTACTGCATCGTAGGGAGGTCATATGCCTTCTTTTACAATCTATTATTGCGATATAATATAACATAAAAGGCTTAACATTTGTGTCGTTTGCCTTTGCCCTTGGCAGATACAATGGCAGGTTCATTGGGGTCATTTTCGTGAGTGGCATTGTCATCAGATTCATTCCCTTCTGCAAGAATCAGCCTTCGCTTTGCCTTTGATGTTGAAACTTCCATATTGTTACAAACAATATTTTGATGTGGCTCGTTTTTTGGGAATGAAATGCATAGGACACTTATGTGTTTCTTCATTTCTCCTTGGTACTTTTTAAATATAGTTGGAAAAAGGGTCAAATAAGCCTTCGTACTATTGTTCAAGCGTCACATAAGCCCATGAACTTAAAAAAAATCACACAGATACACTTACTCTCTATAAAGTGTCAAACGGGTCACATGACCGGCTACTCACTTGGTATTCCCGGTGCTCGGATTACGTGTCCTCCCTTTTTACCCAATCTGCCTTTTATTTTCCACATTAGCAGGTCAAAGGATTCAGTTTAGCCCTAAATATAAACCTAACCTGCGTTTCTTAATCTACAAACAAGGAGTATGCGTCTTCATCGATTGAAATCGCAGAGCACATCGACTGAAACGGAGATTCCATTTCATCTACGAATAAGGCTTCCGCAAACGATCTTCATCTTCTGAAATGTCTTCATCTTCGTTTACTTCACACAGAAAGGAGATTCCGGATCTGAACTACGAACCTAGCTTTTATTGTTACTGTGGTTTGAAGGCTCCGGTTTGTGTTTCCAGACAAAGCGGTCGTAAGTTCTACGGATGTCAACAATGGAAGGTAAATGAAGCTATATTCTCAATTTGTTTTTTTTTGTGATGGAATTGATATACAATTGGAGCCAGTATGTATTTGGGAGGATCCAGAATGGGTTTGAGATATGTTCTTGCATCCTAGTATCTCTGTTTATTGGAAAATATTGTAAATATGATTGTAATTATTTACACTTATTACAAATTGTTGCAGGAAGGAAAAGCGTGTGGATATTTTTGTTGGAAAGACGAAAGTAATATACAACAACTACAACGGCCTGAAGCGATCTTAGAGGAGTTAAGGACGGTGGTTTATGATGTACGTGACAAAATAAATCGTGTGAACGCAAGAGTGCAGGCTGACATTGATGAAAATAAGAGATTTAGATTCATAGTTGGTCTTGTGCTAGCTGTGATCGTAGCAATGTTTATGTTCATTTGTGTAGTGTTAAAAGAAATGAATTCTTGAAGTTGCAATGTATGTTAGATAGCATGTTTGTGGTGCTTTATGTAGACCTTTGGTCCTACAACATGAACACGGGACCTAAAGAGGCATTTTGAACAGTATGGGAAGATATTGAATGTCAGGATGAGGAGAAACTTTGCTTTTATTCAATATTAATATTGAGTTATTGTAATTTTCCTTGATGACTTCACTTTTAACATTAAACATTTATATTTGCATCCCGATGATGAAGGATATCACCTGCATGCGATGGGATACATTTCATTATTTGCATCCCGACCCACCGCACTTAAAATTTCACCCTTCAACATCCCTTTTAGAAAACACCCATCTAGTCCAACAACTCGACGACAACCTAGTAAGAATCCTCTTTTTAAAGCCTCAAAGCAGACATACATCCTCTGAAAAACTTCAAGGCCATCTTCATGCATCCTTTGTGTTTTTACTATGACCGTGCTCCCTGGATTTGACCTAATGCATTCTTCGGCGTAGTCCCCCACCCTACGAAATTGATCACCAAAGGACTCGTTAATCTTTTTGAGCACCTTTGCAATGCATCTCTTCACCTTGGAAATATTCACATGAATATTAAATTCATTGCGTATTTCTTTTTGTAGTTCCACTCGGCCAATCTTATTTTCGAACTTATCTTCTATCCATTTTTGACTAACAATCTTCAACTTGAACTTCTCATTGCATCTATGGGTCCCTATCCAAGTCTTCAACTGCAAGCATCTATATTTGTTTTCCCACGATGCAGTGCACTTAAAGGGACAGTTACTTGCACATTTTGCTTGAAGTCTCATAGGCTCATTCTTAACCCACCTAATATCCCTTTTATAATGCACTGCGTAATTAATCAGGGCTGTTTTGAATTGGATTCCATCTTCAAATAACATCTCCACCTCTAGGTCTCTGGATTCTGATTCAGGATTATATGAAGGACATTTATGCTTGACATGAACTTTAGATTGGACCTCATAACCTTGGGCATCCTCATGTTCAGGTTCAGAATAATAACTTGGCGGGTCATCTGAATCATAATAAGCACTGTTTTGCTCTTCTTCTACATCCGAATGCAAGTCATCTCTCTGCCGCTGCTTCTTTACCCATGCTGTCTTTTTATCTCTTAAGTCACCATCATTGGAATTATTCCTCTCATCTTGCTCCTCACCAGAAGTATTATCATGGCTTGCTGGAAAAATATCTTCTTCCTCTTCGGCATCATTTGCTTCAACATTTTCATCAGCATGGTCTGCATGAACCCTATGTTCTGTGTGTGCATTATTAGAAGGTAAAGCATATTCCGAAATCAATTCAGCCTCATCAATACCATGCTCCACATAAACGTCTACTATTCCTTAATTCTTGGCCATTTCTATAAGCTCAAGAGTAGATGCATCATTCCATAATGGCTTTAACAATTCCATCTTCTCCCCAGGTGATTTAAAAGATAAGGATTCCACCTTCTTGTATGCATCCTCCATGATAAACTTTAACAGGTGAGGGTAAGAGATTCTATCTGGATCAAGAGTAATTGTATGCACCTCACCGTTAACATATGACAGCTCTGCACCTTTAATGAAATTCCCCCCATGGTGTATTCTCAAATATGCTTCCAAAAACATTCTAAAAAAGGACTTATATAAGTGTCAATTTATTGAAACTATTTTATCTTCA